CTGAGTTTATATTCTTCTGCGCTTTTCTACACATGGACTCTACCCCCTGGAGCGTCCTCTTTGCATAATGCTTCCTAACAAGCCTAGACCCTCGACCGTCCACTCAGCAATGAAAGCTGAGTTTATATTCTTCTGCGCTTTTCTACACATGGACTCTACCCCCTAGAGCGTCCACAGAAACGTTCCTCGCCGCAGGCTGATATTACCAGGATATGAGAAACAACAACATTGACATTAACATAACCACCTAAACGAGAAAACAACAAAGCCCAAAAAACAGTATTCTAGCTTTCACCCTCGCTCTCGAACTCAGCAGTTCTTGCGAATCTCAGCAGCGGGAATGCCGTCGTAGAGGTCACGCCTGCACCAGTCTTCTGTTCGGTCTTTGTACGGTGTCGACATAATTTTGCTGTAGTTAACTTTCCTAGTCATTGTAACAGGCTGTGTAAGTGTCCGTCACCTGTATAGCCTGCAAGTGAACACCAGTGGTGGTGTTGCATTATGTTGCGAGACATTCTGCCATGCCGCTGCAAGTCTTGTCCTTCCATGAAGCCATAAACCCTAAACCCTAAACCCTAAAGCCTGAACCAAAAACACTGAAGCCTGAACCCAAAACCCTAAACCCTAAAGCCTGAACCCTAAACCCTGAAGACTAAACCGTAACACCTGAGCCCTAAAGCCTAAACCCTAAAACCTAAGCCCTAAAGCCCAAACAAGCCCAGGCACTGGAGACTGCAGGACAGAACTCGGGATGTGACGGATCAGACCTCAAGAGCCAAGAGTTAGGTCTGAAGGCTTCGGAGTTCCTATGGCAGGTTACTGTAAGGTTACTACATAAGGTTACCATAAGGTTGCTGTAAGGTTACGATAAGGGCTACTATAAGGTTGCTATAAGGCTACTATAAGGTTACTATAAGGTTACTATATGGTTACTTGAAGGTTGCCATGGTAATTACTACAAGGCTGCTCTGCTAAGGGTACGCTAATGTTACTACAAGGATTGTGTAAGGGTACTAATGGGATACTTCTTACACGCTCAGGTTTTCGCAAGGGCTTGGCGAACTCTGAGATGGACTCGGGATTCCCGATACCCCGTACGAGGACTCTACCTCAAGCTTCTAGATGGACACGAACTTGCTGTTTGACACAGTGTTTAGGGTTTAGGGTTTAGGGTTTAGGGAGTTCCTTGAGTATGTAAGGGGCTTGAGACTCCCTGGGCAGAGTAGCTGTGAGCTTTCAGCCGAGATGTAATCTCCTGATGTATCATGAGATATCTATCGGCTCAAGCATCAGGGGGGGCATCAAGACACCAGCTGTTCTTGTGCTGTCGGTTGGGATGCGAGATGCTGATTGCATGATGTGTCGTCGGCTCGTCCTGAGATTCAGTGCCAGAATCCTGAACATCTACGGGTCCCTCGCGCATTCACGAATCGGTTTAGGGTTTAGGGTTTAGGGTTTAAGGTTTAGGGTTTAAGGTTTAGGGTTTAGGGTTTAGGGTTTAGGGCTCTGATCATCCTCCCACAGACAAATGCATCGAAGAGACAGGATAAAGGCTGCATCTGTCTCCATGCCGGCATGGGGCACCTTGAGAGACGGGGCTCTATCAAGCACAGGGTTTGAGGGTTTCGCATCTAAGCTTGTACTTGGAGGTCCATGGGTAGTTATAAATGGGGTTATAAGTAGGGTAACTATCATTATAACCCATGTTAGGGGACTTATAACCATACTTATAGCTACCCATGAACCTCCAAGTGCAGTTCGTACAGGGTTGTTTTAGCAATTAGGGTTTGTAGGTGTTCATTTCGAAGGCCAGGATTTGAGATTCCCAGACCCCCAAAATAGATCCCCTAAGGGGGTTCCTATTAAGTACCCTTTAGTAAGTTGGGGTCCCTAATTAGGGGATCCATTTTTTAGATCCTTTTGGGGGTGCGCTAATTATGGTTTAGGGTTTAGGGTTTAGGGTTTAGGGTTTGTTTGACCTCTCTTATCTCCGAACCTTGGGTCCTAAACCCTGTAGGCCTGTATGGGAGTTTTCGAAAATTAGGGGTACCGTATGTTGGGGTCCTTATAATAGGGATCCTATTATTTAGGGTACTACATTAGGGTCCCTATTTTCGGGAACCCCATATGTCCTAGGGTGTGGGGTTTTGGGGCGCTGGGTATGGATGTACCCACTGATTCTGAATTCTGAGTAGGAGGGGATGCAAAGTAGTCAGATCCCAAGCATCAGGAGTGTAGCATAACGAATTATGCAACAAAAACCTCAAACCCTGCAGCCCCAACCCTAGCCAGACGCAGAAGAAGTACGGTGACTAAACTTTATCATCTTCAAAAAGCCCTTTCCTGCACCCTGGAGCAGTACACACACGCTTTCTTGCGACGTTATCTCTGTCTAGGGTTTGGGGCTTAGGATTTCAATCCGGATTGCCCACGTCCTTATGCCCTGACATATCCCGAAGACCGGCTAAGGAAGTCGGCACCCAGAGCACAAAACCCTTGTTGGAAGGGCTCTGTGAAGCCTGATAGCACAAAAGCTCCTGAGAACATGACAAGAAGCTTCCCCTCAAACCCTGAAACCCTTAATCCCTAAAGCTCTACACCATAACCCCTCAAACCCTAAACCCTGAACCGATTGCCTGAAACACTCAGCTTTGACTGGCCGCGGCGCCTGGCACTGTCGCGGCGCGCCGTTTGCAACGCGCCTTCATGGGGTATGCTGTTCCTGCACCTCTACTCTAGTCTTAGAAGGGAAAGCAACACACAACGCCACACTTTTTTAAGATCCCCACGACAGAAACCAAAAGAAATCATAAACCCCAAAAGGTTCAAAACCCAAAAAGAGTGCACTAGCTGTGTAGACTCACGTTTACATATTGTATAGTATACTCCCCAAACACAAGTCTATTCGTTGAGGCCCATCTGAGACGACCCTTATACAGATACCTGCACATATCTACGTCGAGTCTGCGTATGAAAGAAACCCCAAACACTAGCCAAGGCACAGGTCAAGCAGCTCGGCGTTCTCGCAACAGACCTCACTTAGGGCTCAGGTGGGCCTCCAAACTCGAGGCCAACTCCCCCAATAGTTGTGGACTGAAGACATGCAATGGGGCTTGGGGTTTAGGGTTTAGGGTTTAGGGTTTAGGGTTTAGGGTTTAGGGTTTAGAGGCTATAGTTGTGCTAGTACGTCTTAGTTTGACCGGAACTAGATTGGTAGTTGGCTACTCTGACTATTCATATTTAACCCTAAACCCTAAACCCTTCGTATTCAACCCCTGCTCTTCTCCGAGGCACCTGATAGGTCCTGCAGGCCAGTGACCTCGGTCTTCGTGGCTTCGGGGTGTAGTTGGGATTTAGGGCTTTAGGGTTTTAGGGTTTAGGGTTTAGGGATTTAGGGTTTTAGGGATTTAGGGTTCCAGGGTTTAGGGTTTAGGGTTGAAAGTTGAGGATTTAGGGCTCTAGGGTTTTAGGGTTTAGGGTTGAGGGTTGAGGGTTTAGGGAGAAGTTCGACAGACTGTCAAGACTTCTTTTATCACACATAGGTGAACCAAAACGACGGAAACCCACAGCAAGTGCAGAACTTACAAAGAGGGACCTTTAGCCCGAAGGAATAACTAAAGTATGGCTAGCCCCCAAAACCCTCAACCCTCAACCCCAAACCCTCAACCCTACACCCTAAAACCCTAAAACTGTAAAACCGTAAAACCCCCAACCCTAAACCCGAAAACCCTAAAACCCTAAGACCCTCAACCCTAAACCCCCAACCCTAAACCCTAAAACCCTAAACCCTAAAACCCTAAAACCCTAACCCGAAGGCTTCTAAAGTGTGTCGACTTTTTCCCAGCAGCGGCGAGGGCCACACGGGCTACTGCTGGGCCACTCAGCGGGCTCAGCTGGAGCAAAACAGAGAGACTCCAAAACCCTTTAAGCATGGAGTAACTGCTGAATCTTTAGGATAACTACTACACGGGTTTAGGATATTTTTGAAAAGTGTGTCTTGAGGGAATGGTCGGGAATGTTCCTTAATTTATAGAGGGATCCTCATATGCTTTAGGGCACATTACTTAGTTGAGGGGTTTGGTTGTGGAGCCCCCGACGTGGTGAGTTCATGTCTCGTCGAAACTCTGAAACAATTGGAGGGTTTGGAGGTTTGAGCATCATGGTCTTGGGTTTACTGGCTTTTTGGAGGGTTCAGGCTTTACGGCCTTATCGTTCCGACCTCACTGTTTCGGGTAGACGACTGAACTCGCAAGCCCGAAACAGGGGTTTGGGGCTTGAGATTCATGCTTGAGGGTCTAGGAAAACAGGGGCGGTATCAGAAAACGATGTAGTTACGATAGGGGTGAAAGGGTATATATCCCTAAACCCTAAACCCTAAACCCTAAACCCTAAACCCTAAAAAAGGTATATATTCTGGAAACTTGTATTCGGACCGAAAGTTCAGGCTATTGCAAATCACTCCGATCTCCACATCCGGGGGGGCTTCGAGGTGTAGGGCGAAGTTCCGGTTTAGAGTTTAGGGTTTAGGGTTTAGGGTTTAGGGTTTAGGGTTGACCATGTCAATGACAAGAAACAAAGCCACTAAGGTTTATTCGAACAACATCTAGCGGGTAAAATCCGGTAAAGGTTCCTAGTAAAGGCTACCTTGAGAGGAAACCCAATTTAATGGCTTTGAGGCTCGATGGATTGAAGGTTCGGGGCTTAACACCGAGCATTTCATTGTAAGGTCTAATAAGAGCCGAATGTGGGGTAGTTCTCTAAACTAGGGTCCCTTTTGGGGTCTTTTTTTATAAGAGTGCCGTACTATAATGGGGACCGAAAAAGGGACCCTAATTTAGAGAACTACCCATGTATCGATTGCACTGACGGAAAGATCGTCGCCATGAGCAGTTCCACGAGACATACCCTTAGGCCCCATAGTAGTTCCGTTTTGGGATTACCTTATAGGATTCTATATATGAACCCCAAAAAGGAACTACTTTGGGGCCTATGGGTAGACATCAAACCAAAAAGTTCTGCAGGCGCCGCATTTGCGGGCCTTCACCCTTCAGCGCTGCATACCTGCAGGACTACTTGGGGTTTAGGGATTTAGGGTGTAGGGTTTAGGGGTTTAGGGTTTTGGGGTTTAGGGTTTAGGGGTTTAGGGGTTTAGGGTTTACTTGGAGGTTCATGGGTAGCTATAAGTATGGTTATAAGTCCCCTAATATGGGTTATAACTATAGTTATCCTACTTGTAACCCCATAGTTGCCCTACTTATAACCTCTTTTTTAACTACCCATGAACCTCTAAGTAAGGGCTTAGCGTTCAGAGCTCACGCGAACATGTGAAGGATTACAAGGCTGAAGGCTGTTTGTTCAAACTGATCATATTGCTACTACACCATCACAAAAACAAGCATGGTCATTGTCTAGGTTGGCCCCTTATAAAGCCTTTGAACAATATTCGTAAATAAGATCCTCTTCGGTCCAACAACGCAAACATATAAAATGTCCCAAAGGCCCAGCAAGAACTGACAAACTTCTGGCCACTGGGATATGGGAATTCCGGGTGTTAGCCTGGCCAGCCATTCAGTCTGAACTGGGGCTTGACTATGCTGGACTGACGCTGAACCCAAAAACCTCCGTTCGGCTCCCAATGTCGACAATCGTTATAGAAGAGCGACATACTGATTTGGAGAATGTAGGGGCCTTAATAATTAGATCAGGGCTTTGGGGCCGATTATACTGAAATCATGATAAGGAATCCCATAAAAAAAAACAGTATTGGTAAATATTTAGGCCCCTACACTGTTAACTAAGGAAAGGTTTAGGGCTTTGCGGGATTTGCCTTGCGGGTTGCACTTTCAAGCAGTTGGCTCTAGCTTGATTGCCTTCAACACGGAGACTTTATCTTGCATCGAATACGCACTGCTGCCTTGTAGGTCGCCAACCAGAAAAGACAGAAATCACTTGTTCCAAACCTATTCTAGATAAACCCTCGACCCTGCACCGCAAACCACAAGGCCTAAAACCCCCACTCCCTTATTCCTAGACTCTTGACCCTAGTCCCTGCACCCTTAACTCTGAGCTGAATCAGCTCAAGTGGCAGGCTGATGTTAAAACCTGCTTCATCCACTGATGCCACTTCGCTCTCATGGTCGTCGTGGTGCAACATCCACACCTTGATTTCGAGTTTGTGCGCTAATCCCAACACCAGCAAAACCATCCACCGCCCCGATCAGCGCCGGATGGCTGTCATCTGAGTGTCCTCTAAATGCCAGTCTACAGCTGAGTTAGCCGACACACAAGAAATTCATCTGAAACATGCCCCACGTGAACTGTGCTGCTGAGCAGAGCCTAGACCATACCGCTTGAGAGGCTCAGTCTTGAACCCCCCCTCGGGAGTTCTGGCACTGGCTTTGGGGTTTCGTGTTTGAACCATAACTAAGACCGTCCCACTGTTGTCCCTATACACTCACACCATAATATGCAGCGAAACCCGTTCAACATCCAACAGGGGCCTTAAATAGGCTTTTGGGGGCATACGTTGCAGTACAGTGATAAATACACTTGGTCATAAGGAAAGCTTTCTCATTCCCGACGACCCTATGCTGGAGTTTCAGGGACAAGAGACTCCAATTTGAGCAGTTTTCAGGCAAGGCGCCATGAAGTATCGCACCCAGGGCGCTCCAGCAAAGAGCCGCCACCAGGATTGGATTCCTGGGTTTAGGCTTTAGAGACTTTTAGTTTTGTAGTGTTTAGGGCTGTTTGGGGTTATAGAGTTTCGCGTTTAAGATTATACGGTTTAGGCTTAGGGTTTAGGGTCTGAAATTCAGGTTTAGGGTTCCGTGCTATAGGAAGGAAGGAAAGAAGGACAAAACGATACTGTTTAGGGCCTCCTTTTCAAAATTAGGCCACAGGGGCCCCACACAAATAACACCGAAACCCAAAACCAAGAAGCCTTAAATCCGAACACGGCAAAAAAGTACAAGATCGCGCTAATGTTGACCAAGACTCGGGTCAGCTTCTTGAGCCCTTCCACAACATAGCATCCTCTGACCTATTGGTTAGCCCTGAGGGTCCATGTACTCATATAGGATATACATTGGCCCCAAAGTACCTATATAGGGACTACTTTAAGGCCAAAGTATCTCTATTTGGGTACATGGACCCTTAGGGTAGTATATTACGGCACTGCGTTCCCATCTGATGTGCTGACTGCAAATAAAACCACTGTGCAAAGCAGTCAATGTAGACATATTAACAAAAGAAACATTGATGTACTTACGAATGCCGCTTGTTGATATTGACTCCACGCCCACAAGGTGCTTGCACAGTCCCAGTGACGCTGCGTGCATCCGTTGAGCACATGAACTCGATCACGGCAGGCCGGGCGTGACAGTCCTTTCTGCAAGCTGTGGCGGGGGATTTCGGCTTGTTAGATCGTGGAGTTTGGGGTCCAGTGTCTAACTTTGAAGGGTTGGGGTTGATGCCTGAGAATATGAGTGGCACCGAACAGAAGGAACTGTGGGAATTTCACGTTGCCGAAATTTCGCATTTACAGCTATATTCTCAGAACCGGTTCAAGCTGGAACGAGGAATGGACCAAGGATCCTAAAACGTAGAGCCCTGAACAACCCTCAGAGGAACTTTTTGGAACCACATATGGTATATACTAAGAGCAAAATCTAAAGTAAGACTTGTAAGAACTACAATCATTGTCATAATGTTAGAAGAAGAAACATAATACTACTAACAATAAAACAACAATAATCATGCATAAGAATAATATCTATACTAAGAATACCAGAACTAAACATCAGAGTAAAATAGCTTTTCAGAATGCTAAGACTAATAGCACTGATGCCATGCAGAATAGATGCAATAATCACATTTATTGTATGGCAACACCAGGTAATGCCAACAACAATACCACTATGAGTCCTACTACTAGAAACCATCTTCTGATTGTTCGCTATTGCGTTCTTTATCTTAAAAGTTTCAAAGAGACACATCAGCGATGCATCCGGCTCTCCGGCAAACAGTGCAACCTCTGTAGACGACTCGGTTAATAAATATGAATCGAGGAGAACTGCTGCACCGGGCAACCGCGCATGCCACACAACTTCAAGATCTTTTCTGGCAAAACTGTTTCACTGTCCAACAAAACCCACTCTTGCTTACGCAAATGTGCTGTACCGAACCAAGGCGTCCAAAAGGATTGGCTTTTTCGGGACGGTACAGCACTTCAGCTAGTTTTCTTGCCAATGTGGTGTCCTGTCCAAAACGATCCTGTCTTGTTTCGTGTAGTCCTTTAAAACAACCGAACACAGTCTATTGAGGTCCTGGGCCCCTCGCATCAAAGCATGCAAAACCATTGCTTCTTTGGGGGACATTACAGCGCTTCAGCGACTTTTCTTGCGAATGTGCTGTGCTGTCCAAAACAGCAAATCATGTTTTTGCATCCGCGCTGCACTGTCACAGAACACCAGTCCTGGATCTCTTGAACCAAGGCGTACCCAAAAAATATCGGACAGTACAGCACGTGCGCAATAAAGCTAGCTAGAGTGCTGCAACGTCCAAGTAAACACTTTCGTTGGACGCTCTAATCGGCAGATCCCAGAAGCCGAAAAGCTGGTCGAGGTTTATGTGGACGGTACAGCATACATGCGAAGGGAGGGATGGTTCTGGGGGGAGCAGTGTAGCTTTTTTGTTTAGCTGTCTTGCAAAAGCGTTGTACCATCCCAAAAAATCAGTCTTGTTGCAGCAGGAAGGCAAAGGCTTGTGTCGCAAAATGGCGGGGGGTCCCCAGACAGACAGACAGACAGACAGACAGACAGACAGACAGACAGACAGACAGACAGACAGGCAGGCAGGCAGGCAGACAGACAGACAGACAGACAGACAATATGTATGTACGTAATTATGTGTGTTCATATGAATATATACATATAGACAGATTTGTATGTGCGTAGGTATAATATATGTGTAAGAATAAAGCCCCAAACCTTAAACCGCGCAAGAGTCCGCGTTCTGCATCCAGAGGATGTTGGACAGACCAGAACCATGCGGACCCAAGGCCAAGTAAGCAGAACTGAAGAGTCGGTACCTTAGACGCTCGTGGTTGGGAACCTGCAAGGTTTCAACTTGTTATAAGACTTTAGGAGTGAAGTAGGGTTTAGGGAAGCTTAGGGTTTAGAGTTTAGGGTTTAGGGTTTTAATGTTTGAGGCTTTAGGGGTTCAGGGTGGGAAACTTAGGGGTTTAGGGCCAGGGATTCTGGGCTCCATGGCTTGAACCGGTACAGGGGTTTATGCGAGCAGTCACTGCGGACGATCTGGGGGTGTAGTGGGAGAAGCAAGCTTCGGGTCACGGGGTTGCGCAGCTGGGTGGTTAATTTTGGGGCCTTAGTACTTGGAATAGGGTTTTGGGCTACATAAAACTATAGTTTTAATAAGGAGCCCCCAAAATAGTATTGGTAATTATTTGGGACCTATGTTAATTGGGGTTCAGGGACCAAGATCCAAGGAGTCGGTGTTTTTAATCAGTTTTGGATTTTGGGATATACGGTTGCATGGGTCATACGGCACCCTGTAGCCCTAAGCCCGTCTTGGGCTCCTGCAAGCTTCGGGAGCTTGATGGAAAACAGGGAAATCCTAATGCGAACCCAAATGGCAAAAAATGCGTTTGATACGGACCCGCTCCCCTATTAAAGCCCCTATTGAACCGTATCCGATCCCCTAAATAAAGCCCTTATTGAACCGTATCCCATCCCCTAAAAGAAGCCCTTATTGAACCGTATTTCGCCTAATAAAGCCCTTCTTGAACCGTATTTCCCCTAATAAAGCCCTTGTTGAACCGCATTTCCCCTTCATAAAGCCCCTATTGAACCGTATGAAAACCTTTCTGAACTTCTGCTAAAGTCTGGCGCCCTGGGCCCCAAAACCTGGACCCAAAAGCCTCAACCCTTACCGGCCCTACCCCCCTCCCCTCCCCTCCCTCCCCAACGCACACTGGGTTTAGGGTTTACCTTAAGAACCCAAAACCTACTTTTTTGTAGGGTCCCTATAAATCCCATATTAGGGTTTATAATAAGAACCTCCAAAAAAAGTGGGTTTTGGGTTTAGGGTTTAGGGTTAAACCCTCAACCCTTACCGGCCCTACCCCCCTCCTCCCCTCCCTCCGGATCGAAACTCTCAGACCTCCCTCCCCAACGCACCCTTGGGATCGAAACTCTCAGAGATTTCGGCTCCATGTATTGAAGTTGCAGACTCTAGAACTCCCACAGCCTTGATGTAGCATAATCTATGCTCCTTAGGTTAGAATAGGGCTTCGGTGGTAGTCAACCCTACGCCATGAAACCCGATGAGCCTCATGAGCTTCAAAAAACAAAGCCTAAAACCGAACCCAAACCATAAGCCAAGACCCTACAAACCCTAAAACTTCATCGGTAGATCCGGCCGCTGTTCTTCGAAGCCCAAGCTCTGTGTGGTGCCTGCCACCTCAGCGAAGTCAACAAATCTTGACGATCTAGGAGTTTCATACCCCAGCCGCAAACACTAAAGATGTCTAAAGATCCTTGATGCAAGAAGCTTGTTAAATGTTGGTTCTGCACGGTTCTTCACCTTTTTCTGTGAAAGATCTAGCGTGGCCCGGGTTTGGCTTTAGGGTTTGGTTTGGGTTTAGGGTTTAGGGTTTAGGGTTTAGGGTTTAGGGTTTAGGGTTTTGGGTCTTGGGTTGAGGGGTTCAGGCTTTGATTTGTCCTTGAAGGGATTTTGGCCGATCCCATAAGGATGGCTTAAGCATGCTCAAAGAGCCCAACGCACAGAAATGGCGGAATTATTTTTCCTGTACACAATCCACGGAGGGGGCAGGGGGGCCAAGAATCATAAAGTGGAAGCGGTTTATGTCTATACTGTCACTTTTTGAGGGGGAGGGATCTTGCTCTTGTCTGCTGTTGCTCGTGCTCGGCTCTTCTTCCTGCTCTGCTTTCGCACCTGCTCCGGTGTGCACTGCTCTTGCTCCTGCTTTTGCTCTTCCTGTTGCTTCTCTTGCTGCTGCTCTCGCTGTCGCTCTCGCTCTTGCTCCCGCACCTGCTCTTGCTCCGGCTATCCCTCTGGCTCCTGAATCCCCCCACGTCCACACTAGGGTCTAAAAGGCGGTGATGATTTCAGGTAGATTTTCCGCAGAGCGTTGTGGTTACTAGGAGCGTGCTTCATAAAAGGAGGAAGTGACTATACGGTACGAACAAAGGTAGGGACGAGACATAGACATAGACACAGAATGTTGATTAATTGAGATTTGAATGTCTGTGTTCAAAAAAATGATGCATCTGGCATATTCGGCTGGTTCGATGTAAGCTGTACTCGGCTTTCATTGTCGATCAGAATGCTGCGATAAAGCGACCTAGGATACTTCCAACAAATACTGGCGAACCCTAAACCCTAAACCCTAAACCCTAGACCCTAAACCCTAAACCCTAAACCCTAAGCCAAGTGTCCCTGCCGTTGAACACCACGATGTCGTCGGCAGGTCGCTGCACGGAGCGCAAGGCTTCTGCAGTCAAATCGAGTAGGCGACTGAACTGCGCCTTTGCAATAAGCCTGGTTTAGGGTTTAGGGTTTATAGGGGTTTAGGGTTTAGGGTTTAGGGTCTATAGGGTTTAGGGTTTAGGGGCCAGCCGTGGTGGCGCTTCAGCATGCAGGGCTTGACGGCTTGAGGCTGCTGGGCTTGAGGGTGCTGGGCTTTCGTTCAGCGAATCGGCAGTGCAAAGTATTTTTGAAGATGTGACTGTATCGAGAACAAGACTGACGCCACTTTACGGGCTCCTTTCTCGAAACCGTTATACCATCCCTTAAACAATGGGTTGTACACAACCCCTTAATAAGTAGGTTTTGGGTAAGGGTTTGGGGTTTTAGGATTTCCGGAGCCTGCCAGTCCTCGTGTCTCCAGGAACCCGCTCGTATGCAACGACTTTGTCGAGCGACTGGGACTTCGTTCGGAGCCTGTGGAACTTCGGTCTAAAGGCTTTCAAAGGCATGGACCGGATAAATTTCTAGCAGGTTTTGGGGTACCATGCCATGCATTCGTGTGTTTTTGGTTGGTGGGCGTTTGAGTTTTGCATATATGGCGCAGACCCCGAAGCTACAAATCCTAAACGAGCCAGAGCTGTAACCACGGTTTGATCGGATATAAATTCGGGGGTAATGACATAGCTAATTTCAGCGCACCCCAACCTGGATATTAAACAATTGACTAGGCTGGCCCCTTTAAAGTTTCTGAAACTCATCCGTAAATGATATCCTCTTAAGTCTAGTATGGGAAAATGTAAGATGACACAAAAGTCCTACCTAGTAGAAACATCTTGAAATCAAAGATTCGTATATTGAGACGCACTATAACTATCGACCCCGTTTTAATAACGATCTACCTTTTCAAACGTAAAACCTTACACTCCTCTCCAAAAGAAGACCTAAACCCAAACCACGAAATCCGAGACCCTAAACTCTGTCAAAACCATAAACCCAACATCCTAAACCCACAAAGTCCAAGATCCCATATGACGGCAGCCGACAGCTGAATAAGATCAGTCTAGCAGCTGGAGGCAACTACTCTCTTCAGCGCCACAAGAGTTCGCTTCTGGCGCCGTACTGCTCTTTTTTACTGCTTGAGATCGGTACAGTAACAGGGCGTACAGCCCATATATATTCTATTACCCGAAAACCTGAACCCCAGCCGATTCACAATTCAACTTTCGTTTTCAGGATTTAGGGTTCAGCCTTGCTACTAGAATTTAGGATTAGGATTTAGGGTTTAGGATTCAGGATTTCGGGTATAAGATTTAGGAGTTGCGGCATAGGATTTTCGACGACGTTTCGGCTGGCACCAAAATGAGAAAAACCTTCTTTGTGTTTTTACATTGGGCCAAGGCCGTTATCGAGGTACCCCCTACCTGAGGGTTGAGGGCTCAAGAGTTGGCTAGGACTTAAGTTCAGGATTCTGCCATGTGCAAATTTTAGGAGTTAGGAGTTTGGGTTCTAATTGGGGATTTGGGGTTCAGCATTCTAGAGTAGGACTCAGGATTAAGATTAGTATTTAAAGTTCCTGGTCTGGGAGTTAGCATTTCGGTTTCGGATTTACGATTTAAGGTCTGTCTGGTGTTTAGTAGGGAATGGAGGAATGGATCCTTATGATAGTCCCTGAAGGTCCGTTATAGTAGTCCCTATAACCCATTCCCCCATTCCCTAAACCCTAAACCCTAAACCCTAAACCCCTACTAAGCACCAGACAGAGGTGTTCTCACTTAGGACTCGAGGTTCCTAAATCCTGGACCCCTTTCTCTTGCATTTCAAGTTCGGAACGTCGGATTTAGGGTTTAGGGTTTAGGGTTTAGGGTGCAGGATTTACGGTCTAGAATGTAAGATTTAGGGTTTAGGAAAGCGGGCTTGGGATTCAGGATTTGGGATTTCAGATTTCAGGCGAGGGTTTAGGAGCCAGGAGCTAGAGGTTAGGGTTTAGGATTGAAGGTTCAGGATCCAGGGTCAGAGTTCAGGATTCAGGTTTTCAGGTTTAGGATTTAGGAACCACGGTTTCGGATTTGGGCTTTATAGGTTTCGAGTTTAGGAACCGGGATAACCCTGAGGATTCAGGAACCAAGTCTTCGGATCTAGGGTTCAGGATTAAGAAACAAAAGGGTTTAGGGTTTAGGGGTTTTAACCACGGTTTCGGATTGTAGCGTTCGGGTGAGGAGCCAGGCGTCTTGGTTAAAAACTGAGAAATTTAGAGGATTGAGTTTTGAACTTGGGAACCAAAGCCTGGGATTTAGGATTGAGCGACTGGGGACCGGGAGTTACTTGGAGGTTCATGGGTAGTTGTAAGTGGGGTTATAAGTCCCCTAATATGGGTTATAACTATAGCTACCTTACTTATAAGCCCACCCTAAACCCTAAACCCTAAACCCTAAACCCTAAACCCTAAACCCTTATAACTACCCATGAACCTCCAAGTAGGATCTATAGGGCTTAGGATTTAGAATCGAGAT